AATCTTCACCAGATTGATGAAGGGTAGCCAACCAAACATCACCAAACGGCCCCCTCCCAATTCTCTGCCTGAGTTTCAAACTCCCAGGCTCGATCCAAGGAGTTGACCGGCTCGACGAGACCACCACAGTCCTAAGGTGGTCTGGATCACCTTCGTAGAGCTCATACTCAAAAGACACAGGCTGAGCAGGAACGACTTTTCCAGCCATTCTCTCTGCGCCATCCAACAAAAACACATACATTCACACACCAAATCGCCTTTAGGGAACAAGATCACAAAATTCAAGCTTCCAATCCATTATCCAGTTCAAAAATACACCAAATCAGCACATAACGAAACGCTTGGGTTTTCCCCCATCGGAGCAGAATATTCCCAGCAACCAATCGGTCCAACAAACACAGCACGCAATGATGAGAGCACGATAATCAGCAGTAACAGGAAGTATGGAGGTGGAAATTCAAAGGAGAATTGTGAATTCCTTACCTGATCAGGGAAGCTGAGAGACGGAGGAGAAGACGAATTGGAGGGGCCCGGGGAAGCAGAGAAATTGAGACCGATTTTACGGCAGGGAATTTGAAGAAGCTACGTCAAGAGAATGAGAAGAAGACGAAGTCGAGCGGGAGAGAGGGAGAAGTGTTGGAAATAAAGACGGGCAGCTGAACTGAGTTTTCAACTGGAGGGAGATGCTACGGTGCGATGGGGTGCAGGATATGGAAGAGCCGAAGAAGGATGGACACTGGTTGGTCGTTTTGGTCAAACGACAACGTTCCCGATTTACTTTTTCTGTTAGAGTGGCAAGATTAGGATTTAGGGGTGTTCAAACGGATTGGTTATCGTGGTAACCATATTAACCAGTAGCATTCGGTTAATTTGGTTTGGTTAATTTGTATAATTGATTTGGTTTGGTCAAACAATTTAACTTATTTGGTTTAGGTGGCTTGGTTTGGTTTCAACGTTGCTAACCAATGAAACCAATTAACTAATTAATGATACATCTAATATACAAAATTATTTATACTTCCATGCAACCAACCAAACCAAACTTTCGTGATTTCCTAATTTATTTTCATGTGCACAACAAACAAAACATTATGGGTAAAAAATTAAACGGGTCTGCCTATTTACTAAACCAAAACATTTTGGACGACTACTAGACTTTAGGATTACGTACAATATCATGACAGTCACCTCAAACTATGTATAGTTTAAGTTTTTTTGTATGAGAGCTTTAACTTCGTGATGAGGGGTATTGGTATGCATATATGTTAAGGGGTTTGTTGTAAGCTAATTATATTAGGTGCAGAGATGATATGAATGATGTATTAACTCGAAGTCTCGAATGATGATGATAATCATGAATGGTTAGTCTTATTATTATTGCTTATACATAATTATAGTTTATGATAGTAACAACGTATGGTTATGTTTTATTCATTTACAGGAAAATTACTTTCATGTAATGTAATGTTATTTGGTTAATTCGATTATCCGATTAACCAAATCAATTTAACTTTGGTTTGGTTAATTTGATTTTCGTGTTAATTTGGACGGTTTGGTCGAAATTTTTTATTCCATGGTTAATGAAATTTAGCCTTAATTAATTTGATAATTACAACGGTAACCATTTGAACACCTTTGGCAACATCACGTTGGTATTTTGCGCAAACCCCATTAATTAAGAATTTTGGTTCACGTTCTCTCATATTATCTATTTGTTTGAGGGTGGTCAGTGGTGTTGAGTATCATGTAAAACTATAAGGAAAGGAGGGGGATTATTTTTTTATAAACTTTGACGTAAAATTCTGGTGATAAAAATTTGGAATATGTTGGGAATGCTGGTGAAGTTATGATAAATTTGTTTGTGATATATGTCCTATTGTTGTGGCCAATAGAGCTTTGTAAGGTTAGCAATATATTTTTTACCAGAAGGTTATTATTTGATACTACACTAAGATCGATTACTTCAAATTACATTTTTTGGTGGTTAGTTTTCAACTTTCATTGTAAAATCGGCCAACTAATTTCACCCCCCAACCCAACTATGTATTTACTATTTAGGATGTTGACTTCTCCAAGATCCTTATTATTATGCAAAACGGGTAAATGTCACATTTGGTAACTGAGATTATTAAATCATGTCATTTTTAGTCACTAGAAAAAATTAATATAAATTTTGGTCACTTGATTACTGAAACATGTCACATTTAGCCACTCTCCCGTTAGTTTCCGTTCAACTCCGTTAATGGAGTTGGACGGAGGCTAACGGAGAGTGACTAAATGTTTTAGTAATTTGAGTGACATTCATTAAAAAAAGTAATTCGAGTGACCGGAGTTGAACGGAGACTAATGAGTGAGTGATTAAATGTAACATGTTTTAGTAATTCGAATGACCAAAATTAATATTAATTTTTTCTATCCATTTGTAATTCTATCCCAAAACTCAAACTAACCGTCTCCATCGGTGGGGACAAGTTACCATTATAGAATGATTAAGATTTTGGTGGGAACGTTCATATCATCTACTCGTTAAGTAATCACAGCTATATTATGAATGTTATGAATATCAAGGGTTTAATTCCCCACCCGATGGTTCTTATAAATAGCGCTGGAAGTTGGTACCGTATTTGCGATATATCGAATATCCTACCGAATTTTTCTATATTTGGTATTATCGAATATACGTATTATTTCGTGAGATTGAAATTGAATTTCAATTGTTATTTGGTATTATGGATTATGAGATTGGGATCGGTATATACCAAAATGCCGATCAATACGGAAATATGAACTAGTGTGTATTTTATCCTCTCAACTAGACTCTCTCATTCACTACTACGCGACCATCAACCACCAAAAGTGTCATTTAATAATACAAAGATCATTACATCACTATTTCACACTAGTATTAGTCGTCTCTCAACCTCAAATTCGTAAAATTAAAGATTACCAATTACAAGAACTTGAGATGTTAGCTCTAGGCAACTCAAGACTATTTGCTTAGTCTCTTTGCCCTAAATTAAAATATAAAATCTAGTTTATATATTTAATTATTAATTGCAAAGGTAATTAATTATGTATTCGATAATACCGATTGGGATACCGAGGTACCGACTGGAATACCGAAATTATTTAGGGACTGGGATTGAGATTGATTTTAGGGTGTAATTCGATATTCGGGATTTCGGTATTTGGTATTGAGATACTGATACCGTACTGATTTCCACCCCTACTTATGAACATGATAAAGATTTTGGTATCTATGTGTCAAAACTCAAAAGGAATTTAAAAATTGATATTGAGGAAAATTTTCTAAGTCTCACCAATTATTCATTAATTCATATTCTAAAAAGAGTCAAATTGAGGAACTTATTTGTTAAAATCGATGATTAAACTAGTTAATTTTATCCAAGCATCGATAGAAACTAATTAAACTAGAAGTATATAGCATCATAGGCAAGACCGATTAATACGAATTATATGGTGGATTAATGACCACCTTATGGACAAAAATAAAACCTTTAGGGGTTGTTTGCTTGAGTTATTTGTATGAGTCATTTGGTATCAAATGACTCAATTGAGTAATTTGATGTCAAATGACTCGTTTGCTAAAGAAAAAACGCATGAGTAATTTCGTCCATACGAATGTCCCAAATGACTCATTATTTAGTCCAATGTTCCAACTATGTCCTCACCTATTTTATAAACCCACTTCTATCCTTCTCTTTCTATTATTTTGTTTTCTATGTCATTGGTCCGTCTCCTCACACAATTATTTTTTCTTTTCCCCCAAATTTCATTAGCAACGAAGAGGGTCATCTACCTAAAAGTGAATCATTTTCGTTCACAAACCCTACCATTTGTAATTAGTTTGAAATTCAAGACTTATGGAGGCGTTATCTTTCATAAGAAAAGTTAACATATAATCATTATTTAAAGTTAGAAAGTAGTATTATAATGGAAAACACTCAAATAGTATGTTTTGTTGGTTGCAAAATGATTTTTGTTTATGTGGGAGGTTTTTATAGGAATAGGAAACAAAATGATGGAACATATTAAATGTAAGGGCAAAATGATAAAATTATACAAATGACTCATCTAAAACCTTTTAAACAAACAATGCATTTGTAATGCCTACATTCCCAAATGTCTACATTTCTCAAATGCCTACATTTAGGCTAATGACTCGATTTGAAAATGACTCGTGCAAACACCCCCTTAAGGGTGCATAAACTCATCTGTCATAAAGCAAATGGTTTCAATAATTCAAGTTATTGGTACTTGGTAGACGTCCATGTATGATACTTAACCACTTCATTACGCGCCTCTCAATGAAAAGGTGACTCATGGGCTTTAAGTTTACCATGTGCTTTAGGACAACAAATAATATTGTTAGTCCTTAAGATTTGAACACGTGACCTATGGACAAACCCGCTCTGATATCATGTCATAAACAAACTAATCCCAATAATTCAAACTATTGTAAGAGATACATGTATAATACCACTTCCGTATATGACTGACGTACGCTAGCCTGAACCATATAATATATATATAATTGACATTGTGTATCATCACATCTCAAACACTAGATCATTAATTGAAGTTGAGTATCATCACATCTCAAACACATCTGAGCAAAAGTTTAGACGATTTGTCCTAATAAACCATTTCGTTTCTTTGAGGACAATCATCAAACACAAAGCACGCAACATCAAGTTACCCTCACTCATAAGTAAACACAGTCAAACCATTCACACTGATTCCTAACTAGAAACCTAAACATGGCCATACCAATATGAATTTGTTTCTCCTACTACTACATCACCCATTTCCATTCACAGATTGAGTGAAGCTTCAAAACAACAACAACAACAACAACAACAAAGCCTGATCGATTAAAACCCTAATCAACCATCCCCAAAAACGCAAGTCGATTCGACATCCGACTTACCTTCACCTCCGACCTCCCGTCCCCTTTCCAAGTCGTTTCCATCTTCAATTCAGAGCTCCCAAGCTCGCAGATCTCTCCCAATCCGAAACGAAACGTAAGCATCAACACAAGCTTGCATGACCTGATCGCGCCCAAGATCCCTTCTCCCCCAATCGCTCAGACTAATTTCCTTCTCCAATCTCACCCCTTCGTAACCCAGCACCTCCCTCACAATTTCCTCCGCCGACGCCCCTCTCAGGCTCCTCCCGTCGTCGGCCTCCGCGTACTTCCTCAGATCCAGGAGATCGTGGATGCCAACCACGTGCTCCGACTCGTACAGCTTCCGCTGGTCGGAGCCGTTCCACAGCCCGACGAAGGTGTTGCCCGTGTGGTAGAGGAATTTTCGCAGGGAGAGCGGAACCCTATCGGCGCGGTAGAGCTGGAAGATCAGGCAGCGTGTGCCGACGCAGAGGTGGAGGGTTTGGGCCGGTGAGCTGGAGCCGTGGAATGCGGTCCACTGGACGCCGGTCCCGACGACCATGGGTTCGCGGCGGCGGCGGTGGAAGAAGACGGTCTTCCGGACCCATTTGCTGACGGCGGAAGGGTTTGAAGTGACGGTGACGGAAATGGGGGTGCCGAAGAAGGTGACGGTGTAGAGACGGAACTTGGTGGATCCGGTGTAAGCTCCCTCGATCGTGATCTCGCCGTCGTCCGCCATCGATGTTCTCCGGGAAAAAAAGTTGGTAGTTGAGAGGCAAGAGATTAGAGAGAACGAACAGAGCGGTAGCGCTTCTCCCTATGTTGATCTGACGTTTACTTGCTTGCTTGGCTTTGCAATTCTGCTTTTTCACTTCATCCCGCTGACCCTGTGAGTCACTGAGTGACGACTGACGAGGTAAATTACAGAACGGTCACTAGGATAGGATTTACCGTTGGAAATTAATTCTAATTTTTGTACACTTTTTGTATTTCCAAAAGTTTTGCATCTACAGGCCGAGAGTAGATCAGGCCGGCCCATTTAATGACCCATATATTATGTACTCGGGAGGAAGTGGACCATCATACTTCTAATTTTTCTGATTTTACTGTTACAGCCAGATTGTAGCCCGGCCTAGTTTATCCAATAATAAAGTGATCCACGTCTTCGATGGAATTCAACCCTATAACTGAAATTTCAAGTGATTTGGTAAATAAATAATGTAGAATTTATGTATTTGAAGAACTTATGTATTTGATGGGTTTGGTTTGTAAGATTAAGTACATTGTTTGGGTTACATGAATTAATGGTGGGACCCACATAATTTCTTAAATTACATGGTACATCAATATTACGATTTAAGAAAAATAATGAAATGTTAGATATTATATCATGTAATTTGATAATTGGGTAGATTACTTGATTGCCAAATGACCACTACGATAGTGATAACATAATTTTTTTTCCTAGTAACTAATCATTTTTTTGGAATATCCATCAAAATAGCGAGTTTTTTTATTATTATTTATTGTCAACTAGTTTACATAATAACCACACATCAAATCATATAAGTATCACATTATATCAAGTTAAGTTGATCTATTAGTAATGTGATCGAACAATCACACATAGTTTAGTTCGGCTCAATGGGCCATGGATCAAGGGTCCATTGGTTGAATCATAATGTACTTGATTCACTTGACTTGGTTGAGTATTTTTGTTGAATATATTTAGTGTAAAATATGCAGTTAGTGTGTGCGATACATAATTTTCTCGGAAAATACTGAAGTTCAAAATTTCAAACTTCAAAAACCATAACTCTCCCTCTCCGAGCACCCATTTCTTTTCTTCCCAATATAATCTACATCTATTCTTCTTACGTTGGTCACTGAGATTGCATAGTTATCACGTCGTAAATTTAACGATCAACTATGCGAATTGACTGTCACATCAGACAAAATTAACAGAGTTGAATGGATAGTGATCAAATTTGAATTGTTTTACTAAATCTAGTGACTATAAATGGATTTAAATATTTCAAATAACCAAAAATAAACATTTTTGGTAATCTCAGTGACACCATGCAATTAACCCATTCTTTTTGGGTTTATTTCTCTGTCTTTTCCCCTATTGATTTCGATTACTCTCGTTTTCCTCCGAGCCTGCCCACAAAAAAAACTCGACGGGGAGAAGCAGGACACCACTCAAGCTCACAAATTGGTATAGCAATTCTGGTCAGCTCAATGAGAATGATGAAGCCAAAGCCAAGATTTAGAGTGAGTAGAAGGCTAGATGTTGAACTTAGGATACATGGATTAGCTCGTTGAAAGGTGAAGCAGAAGATGGGACAGGGACGAGCTAATCCCTGCATCCACAAATTCAAATCTTGTCCTACCCTGTTCACAGAGCTAATGGAACCCCATCCATGGATGCATACCTTATTCCCTTGACACAACTGATTCATCACATTATATAGGGCAACTTACAGAGAAACAGTCTAGAGAAGGATAGAAAAAGAGTATTGATTCATACAATTGGAACTTGTGGGGATCTTAGCGAAACCTAAAATCATCAGATTATGATTTGACATACCCAGGAATGACCTTCTTTACAATATCATCACTGAGAGCGCCAATCTGGGCATCCAGCGACACAATCGTCTCCTCCTTCTGCTTCTCCAGCTTCGCCAGCGCCTCCTGGAGCTCCCCCTCCACCTTCTTCCTCCCTTCCTTGAGCTTCTCCTCCAGCTCATCCTGGATCTCCTTCTTCATCTTGTTCAGCGACGCCGATATCTCCGCCCTCGCCGCCCTCATCACCGCCGCCGCCTGCTCCTCCAGCTGCTTCACCTCCGTCGACGTGTCCTTCACGCTGTTCAGCTTCTCCTTGATGGCGGCGTCCCTCTGGTCCATGAACTTCCCGAGCGGGGAGTAGTAGACCTTGTCGAGCCCGACCATGAGGAGCAGGAACTGCGCCATCATGATGGGGAGGGTGAGGTCGAAGTCGAACAGAGCGGCCTTCTCGATCTCCACTGCCAGAGACGGCGGAGCTAATGCGGCGGCGGAGAGGGAGATTGTGGCCAGGAGGGAGGCCGGTTTGAAGGCGGAGATGATTAGGGATTGGGCCGATTTGTTGTTGGTGGTGCTGTTGACTGGGAGGGAGATTTTGGGGAGTTTTGGCTTGGCCGCGGCGGCGACGGTGGGGGGAGGAGAGTAGAGCAAGGGCTTGGAGGTGGCCATGATCATGTTAGCCATGGCGGATTGCCGGAGGAGACACCGATTGGCCGGAGAAGAAATTGGGTTGTTTCTGTGGAGTGTAAGAATCGGAGAGGGGATTCTTTTTTGATTTCTCTGATCTTTTGTGTGGAAATGTGGAGGGGAGAGAGGGAGATAGGCAAAGGGCTATCTCGTTTGTCCGCCACACGATTTTTTGAGGAGAGGCTTCTTCGGCTTCTCTCATGAGCCATGGGCCCGCCGAAGATGGAAGCCCGGCCCATTCTTTCAAACTTGGAGACTGTAGGTTGATGTAAATTGTAAACATGTTACACAACTCGAGTATCGGAGTATAAAATCGCGCTAAAACGTTGTATGAGATGAATAATTTACTCTGTAGATTGATCCCATAGTCTAAGCAAGTTAAAGCCGTTTATTTTCATTGCTATTTCATGTGAAAATTTAATAAGTCATTGACAGTCTCAAATTGACATAAAAAAGGCATGGACTTTACAAGTTCACAATTTTTTCTTTCAATAACGAGAGAGTATAATTATCGACATGCCGAATTCATCTGCAAGACCATTTTCTATGCCATTGCAATTGAGAGATGCTACTTACTACCATTTATCACTGATCGATTTTTTGAGGTCAGGGCCTAAGAGATCAAGGAATACTTTCACCATTGTAGTCCCAAAATAGGCGATTACAAGTTTACAACAAACAGGGTCAATGTATGAACTGTGGTCACTATAAACACCACAAAGAAAGGAGCAAAAAAAGAAGTCCTTCCTACATGGACTAATCACCACAAACCATTTCCCCTCTGGCTTCTTATTTCTGTCCAAAATTTACTCGAAGAACATGGCTTTCTATACACCTCTGAAAAGCTATATAAGGAACTGTTCAAATGCAAACCCCTCCAAAGGGGTTATATAGACTGGTCATGGTTTAGTATTACTGGGGGGGGAACTTGTGTTCGTTAACACCGACTCCCACAAAACTGGACGACGTTTTTGATCCCGCTGAAGAAGCCACATCCATATCTCGAGTGAGATACCTTGAACTTCCTCTTCTTCTCCCTAGGAGACAGCCTTGAGTAAGGGAACCATGGAGTCATTAAGCTCGTGTGGTCGGTGACTTCTTGAAGTTCAATCATCCCCAGATCGCTGTCGTCCTTGTGCACATACGTTCCGTTCTCCATTTCACTGAAACAGTCATCATCGTCAGCATTAAGCTCTATTTCTGCAGCAGCAGCTCTTCTTGGTGCTGTTAGTGAACTGAAGATTAACCCCCACCGAAGTAAAAACATCAATTAGCCCAATACCTTTAACAAATGTTTCTTAAGTGTGTGAACTCCACTATCTTAACCCACTACCCTAACTAATAACCATATGACTATTCTCAGAATGCCCGTTTAGATTCTAACGATTTGAGTTTCGTATCAATGCAGCTTGATCAAGCATGGACCAGAACTAGTTTTTAGACTGCACATAATCTAAAACCAGACAGATACCGACATATAATCAAATGACAAAGGAAGTTCAATGAAGGAGGGTAAAGAGCATACATTTTGTTTCTTTCTGAAGTTAAGACCCTTTTAAATGACCCCTTCTTTGTGAAGCTGTTGCTGGTTGTTGAGAGATGCCGGATGAATTGGAGCTGCAGATTTGACAAAATAAGAGTTACCATCAAGAATTCTGAAGCAGGCATGCATGCCAAGCAATCATATCCAGGAGAACCACACAAAAGCTGCATTCTACAAATATCTAAGTATATCATGAATCTGATCTGGGCATCCTGCTTTCACACTGATTCCTGAAATCTAAACAGGCGACAACAGATGGACGCATTCACATGCAAATCACTGCTACTCAACAGCTCAAAAAAGCATCCATCCTTCCCCCCCTATTTGGATCATACAAGTACCATTTCCAAACCAAACATTCTGCACTGAAGAACCAGTTGAAATCAGAATCATATATACAATCATCGAGGCATTATGGAACAGAACCTCTGTCTTTATCATGATATATGTTCACTCATAATATGGAATGAACCAGAAGCATAACTTCGAAGTGGAAATGGTACGAAATCTGACATGCCCTTATCAAGTGTTTCATGACAAGACTCTCAATGGTCACTCCGTGCACGTACAAATCAGAATATACAATCATTTCTTCCAAACTTGTCAATTCAAAGAACTCCAGTGTTTCAGAATTTAATGAACATGAACAATCGAAGAGTACCAACACAAACACCAGCAACAGAAACGTCATGTAATTATCTCCAAGGGAACAGAGAGTCAATAGGGTCACAAACCTGATCACCTTCCCTTATCCCAAAATAGCTGATGGAGTCAGCTTCAGAGAGCAGCTTCTGGCCATGAAAACCTAAGCAGAAATGCCCCCACACATGCGGCCTGCATTAAACATACCATTTAGAAACCGGCATTGAGGAGATCCATCATCCATCCATTGAAGATACCAATTCTATGCTTCAGTTCTCCAGGTAAAATGTGGTAAACAAGGAAATTTAGCTGTAACAGAGGAGAAGAGAAATGGTAATGAACAACATACCACGAGATCTTGCCTGGCCCCTTCTGCGGCATGTAGCTGAAGGCAGCCTCCACCGCCTGCTTCAATTCACCAACCGTAGCAGAATGCTTTACTTCGATATCTGCAGGGGCAAAAAAAATCAAATCCAATCTCTCCTCAAGAACAAATTCGAGCTAGCAGGTTTCGAAGAAGGGGGAATTTACCGAAGCAGGAGCCGTCGAGCTTGAGAACAGAGAGCGTAATAGGTCTCGCCGGAAGCTTACTGTACGAGAAGCTTCCCTGATCGGAGAAGCCATACAGGGAAAGGAACGGCAAGGAATTCGACCGGCGGTGAATAAACTCCGGGCCTGGACGAACGTCAATAGTGCCAAGGTCAATCCTCGTGTCAACGAGACTCATTATTTCTGACGGAATTCTGCACCCTGCGATATCGGCGAGCGGCTATGCAGCGGAGCTCCCAACTCCTGGAGAGAAATGATAGTGAAGACGCGCGGGAAAATGGAGAAGATGAGGGTTGAATTGCAGTGTGTGTGACACAAAACAACAGAGGAGAAGCCGAGAATTAGGGTTTCGGAGCTCTGTTCGATTCTTCTTTATCATTCCTATCCTTTCTTTTCCTTTTGTTATCTCTGCAACTGAAATAGAGAGCTGTTGCCATGGCAAGAATTTGGGGAGGAGAGAGAGAGAGAAAGAATTGCTTAGCTTGTTTTCTGGATCTGCTCGGAAGGGACGACAGTTGGTGGAGGGAAGGGGGTAACGGTTTTTGCGTCGGTTGACCAGTTCATCGTTATTTCTTCACCTTTTCCAAACTCCCGCTGACTTTTTGACTTTTGAGAGGCACAAGCACAAGAAAAACAGCTCTTTCAGAGATTTATTTCCCGTTACTAGTTTGTTCGGTCCAAATATATCCCTGTAACAAAACTAGTTTTCCCGTTTGTCAATTTCTAACAACATAGCCAAAACGATAAAAGGGCAAGAAGAAAATACGTGGTCATGGGGATGTATAAGATAGTGAAGTGTCGATTTATATCAAAGATAGATCATGTCGGATCATTCAACTTTCAAAACCGGCACACCGGCATAAACCGGTTTGACAACCTTGTACACAACACTCTGGTATATGGATCTAGTTCGCGGATCGGTACATACCACCATGACAAGAACCTTTGGTTGCTTCTTTGGATCAGAAGTGAATGGATAGTTGGTGTAGTGCTGATTTTATTTTGGGATACAAGAGATATTCGAAGTAGAATTGTGATGAAAAGAATTTGAAAAACCAAGAGTCTTCATCGTACACTAAACGAAGAAAGATCCGACAACTAGAAGTCGTGCACGGTGACAGAGAAATCATCATAGTCAAAATTTGAAAATAGCATCTACAGAGATCAGCCTGAGAGCACCACTAGGTTTGAAAGAACCAAGCTTCCACTATATAACAAAAATATCAGTATGCAAAAACCAAAGACAGCTCAACTCTTAACCATTAACATTCATAACTGCCTTGCGCAGCAATGTACAAAATACCTATGATGGAATGGAATCGATAACCTTTCTAAACAAGGGGGGAAACTAGCAGAGAAACCTGGAGGATCAGCAGTACGAGTAGAAAGCCAAAATTTGGAAGGATGCATGACCCGTTATACATGCCACTATTCCCAGTCATTAGGCGAGCGGCCTCCAATGGAACTTTCTGCAGTCAGGACTCAGTCAGATGTAACTTGTAAGCCCGAATAAGGTCAGTTGCTATAACACACGAAAAGCCAGAACCCAGAGAACCGGCCTTCGAGTAGTAGATATCTTCTACCAATCTGTTAAGCTGTCTTGCTGAGAATACAAAGGAGTAATGTGACTCGAGTATCAGAGGCAGTTCAACCGACTTCCAATAAGTGAATTGTTGTTCACCTTGCAGTGGTGGTTAAAACGACTTAGTTATCTCCCTTTCAGCTTGAAGTAAGCATACAACCCAGAGCCGAAGAAACCAAGGAATTGGCCAAGAATATTAAACTGCGCGGCAGTAAATAAACATGCACAAATTATTAGTATCTCTCATAGCAGACAGCAAGAAATGAGTAAAGAGTTGCAAGACTTACAATGTCGAAAGGGAGTCCGCCAAATACTGCCCAACCAATTCCAATAGTGAAGAAATCCTGGTATAGCAGAATTCATTGTGAGACAAACAATTTCCACAGGTTTTGGTGATCAGCAAAGGTGAAGGACCATTCAAAAGAATAACGGCATGTTTTTGAACTACAGAGACTTTATTCTGGCACAACTTTGATAATAGCTGATAAAAGACAACATTTTGACCTCATAACACATTCAAACCAACCTCGTGCATCTGGAATATTGTCAGCGACATACATTTTGGCATGCTAAAAATTCGAAAGTTCTATCCGGAAGACTGTATGTACTCCCAAAACGAGTAGTTAATATCTAATTAAAGTTGGTCAAATTCAATTTGTAAGAAATCTACATTTGCATGCTTCTTAGTCTTCCTGAAATATTATCAACTCTACTAGCTACCCAATGAGCTGCAGGCAGGAGACTGACCGAAATACCAACAAGGATAAAAAGAGAAGTAACACAAAAGGGGCAAAGACGAATAAATGAATCATGTTAACAAACCTTGAGATTGCCACAAATTGTCTGTGTCAGCGCTGAATTGAGTGTTGTATTCAGAAAAATGCTGTAATTCAAGAAGAATGCCAGTATGCAAGAAAGAACCATCACAGCCTGAAAAAGGGAAGGATCATGCTTGTCAAAAGTCAAAACCACCAACAACACAGTATCAGTGTAGAGCCCTTAAATATTATATAACTGAAAACTACAGTAACTAACTTTGCTATGATCATATTTAAATGATCGGAACCATGCACAATTAACACACGAAACAAAAGTGAAACATTTGATATCACAGGTTTTCTCAAGCAACCTAAGCGAATACGACGCAAGACTTTTAGGCACTTACAGCAAGACAATTCAAGAAAACAATATGCACCTGTAACTAGACAACTAAAGGTGCCAATTTGATCAAAGATAGAAACACACTGACTTAGTTAAATGAATACATAATTTTATACTTAATTCTGGAAATTTTGTATCAAAAGACGAGGAAGACTGCTAGTTTGGCATGACACTGTAACAGAAGCACAACATACCACAAAACCAGGTGAAAAAAGATCAGGGAAATGCATTGTCGTCACCAAATCCCCACGTATAAATGTCCAAAACAGGAGAACAGGTCCACATATAACTCCTGTCATGGGGAACAAAATCACGTTATCATTGTTCAGTAAAGCGTCAAAAGAATGAAGGAAGTTAAAATCAATTAACTGATGAACACTGGAAACCATAATCTGTCAAACTTACCATTGCACCACATAAGACCAAAGCTATTAAGGCCAGTAGACTTTCCTGGCAAAAAGAAGATGTTGCAAACCATAGAATGCGACACATGTTAGGTTTACTTAAGGAACATTTCAGAACTGAAGACAACCGACAAATGTGAAACTATAAGAGAAGAGTTCAAGAGCGAAACCAATGCGGCTTATGGTTGCAAGATATATGGCTGTCGTGATATTGGCCAAGAAGACAATAGCATATCCATAGAAGTCAAACGATAAGTCCCGTGCCCCAGCAATAACAGCACCAAAAACTATCAACCCCACACTGAACAACAACATCCTTACATTGTTTCAGTTCAAGGAGCAAACAAACCAACAGTCTGCACCAGAAATAAAATTCAACTAACCTTCCAACAATCGGAGATGTGTATCTCTGGCCAGCAAGAAAGTACTCCATGATCATTGTAAATACTACCGTAGTCCTCCTCAGAGTAGTGTACATGGGAACATTAACTCCACGCACCGACTCCATTGTAACTAGCTTTCGGTAGGAAAAGGGAAAAACAAGCAAAGCATTACTTCCAAGACTAAGGGAGGCTAAGTTTTCGTTCGTACAGATGATCATGGATCATTACCATGTAAAGCAAGTAGGCAATCGACAGAGGAAGAGTATGCAGCAACGTCTCCAATGGCACAAAAGTAACACTGCCACTATCAGAAGTAGTCATAGATTCAGCTGCACTGAAGGATATAATCCTCAATCTCCTTAAAGCATACAGGAACGAGCATGACGATATCATCTACAAAGCAGGTATAATAAGAACAGTATGAGTACAGTAAAAGCACCATAAAACTAATAACTCCGCAGACATCAGTTCCACCTCAGAAGCACTCCAAAACCAGGTAGGATTGAATTAATCTCTCCATGATCAAGTGGGTTTACTGAATTCAAGCTAACAAGCCAAGGTTGAGAAGAAACCATCCCAACCATGAAGATCACTTATCATACCTGAAAGAGTGTTATGACATTGGCACTTGGAAAGCTGTACGAAGAGAGGGCCGCTTTGTTGAACATTACAAGAAGAACTGCAAGTTCAAAGGCAAAAAGGAAAAATCAAAATTTGGGGAATCAAAGCTTTTAGACCTAAAAAGAAAGGAACAGGCTGAAATTCGCAGAAATTACGAAGTTGGATTCACAAATTACCGGCACAAGCCATGTACGAGATGGCAGCGTAAGCGCCTCGTTTGGTCATGGCGGAGCCTCTAAAGAATTTCTCCTTCTCGTCTCCTTTGATGAGCTTCTCTTTCTCTTCGTCGCCGGGAGAGACCGAAACCGGGAGCAGCGGATTGCCGGGAGAACCACTGGACGACATTTTTGGCAATCTTATCTGTTCGGCTAACCAATGAATTGAAGGAATCGCCGAGTTATTTAAACAGAAGAGAATTTGCCGGCGGCGAGGGATGGGGTCTTGGGGTGGAGTGGTCAAACTTGCTCCGGTAATCGGCGGATCGGAAAGACAACCCTCTGTGTATGGGAGAATTGAAATTTCTTGTTCCTTTTTTGGTACCAATGGGGAAATTATATGTATAATTGACTTCGAACATTCCTATGTGCGCTGTGCTCTGTCTGCGTCGAACTGACCGTTTAAGTTGGTATACTTTCCCAAAACCAAAAGGCCCCGCCGCCCTCGCCCCTCCCGCCCGGCCGCCGCCTTCCTCTGTCTTTTCCCCACGTCAACGCAAACCTGATAAGTGCTTTGATGCTTGAAAGGCTACAAACAAATCACTGAGTTTATTTAAGCCAATTCATATATCATATATCAATTAATTAGCAATTCCAACTGGCTTGCTAATCACAATGTTAGTCGTCGAGACACTTTAAGAGTTAAGCTCCACAAGTTATTGAGTTGAGCTAAGCAATACAAACTACCAAATAAAATTGACTTGCAAACCTCGCAAATTGAAGTAATCTTAGTTCAAATTCGACTCTCTAGTAAACAAGTTGAGTTCCGAACAACTAAATTATTGGATTGGCTCACACATAACTCGTACTCCTATCACTTTTAATAAAAAAATTTAGTTCTTTTAGCATGTAACTTATTTTCTACCCTCTACCGTGAATAATGTGGAGGATTGAAATTCCGCACCACATGAAATTTGGTCAGACAAAAAAAACATGAAATTTGTGTGCTTGGGCTCAATTTAATCTTCCATATCCATTGGACCCAAGTTCACAATGATCCATGAATGTATGGGCTATTGGGCTGAGGTCATAGATGGGTTTTATTGCTGGGTTGCCTGCCGCTCGACCCGTTTAGCTAGTTTTCCCCACTGGCAACACCCAATATTCCGAAATCTACGCCAAGTCCGGCGAACGTCGCCTGCGCTTCTCTTTCCCGACCTCCACCATTTCTCTTCTCGGCTTCCGGCTCCGGTAGACTGCAGCTGCCTCCGGGTTTCTTGCCGCCGCCTCCTATCGTCTCCCGTTCTTCATCAGCTTCTGCAGCTGTCCTCCGAGTCTCGGGCGTTACCTGCAACTTCTGTCTTCCGATCTCACTTTAATCAGCGGTGACTCCAACCTATCTCTCTCTCTCGCTACTACTCAACGGACCAATCCATAGGGAGGTTGGTCGTTCCCCTCCCTCCCAATTATATCCAAATCGCAGGCAATGTTTAAGAGTACTTGGGTAGTTTCGATTTCTGTCAATTTACTTGATTTCTTAGCTGAGTTCGTAGATGGTTTATTCAGTTGTTGAAATGAGTCATGAATTCGTGTAGCATGCACATAATTCATTTAGGCAGACTACTTCGACTTATTAAGCTTGGGTTTGTTTCATTTGTGAAAGATAAGCTTGTATGGGTGATGCAGTTGATCGCTCGGCCGAGCTTTTGAGCTTAGGATCACTGCATAGTTTGAGTTTATTCGAAATGCAAAGAAATCGTCATGCCATTGATAACTCGATTTGTTGGTTGTATGAAATGCAGGCAAGCTGGTCTAACTGACCATGAGGCATCAGAATTTGTAGCAAGAAATGAACGAATCATCTATAACTACTCCGAGGTTTACTTACATTAATGATCAAAAGGGCCCTTCCGCAGCAATTGACATGCATCATGTAATAGTTCGCCAAAGCAATTTGAAGGCTTTGTTAGTTTGCCTTCTTGCTTTTTGTTTCCCTGCCAATGGATTCTACCTCTTCATGGTCCTGGTGGGTAATTAATTATCTCTGCGCTACTTCTTTACAATGGGGTGTTTTGTGGGGCTGAAGATGGATGCTTCTTGTGGTTAGTGTTATTTGGGCCTACAACTGACGTTATACAACTCCTGAATTAACAGGATAAATCACCTTTCATTCTTTTGTGGAGTTTACTGTTGAGTTCAATCCTTCTCAAACTTGGTATTGGAAATTCTGTTGTGAAAGGTGAGAAGTAGTGATATCAGCCTCTTGTCCTAGAAAGCATCATTCTTTTTTCTTGAACTCTATATCCTGTTTGCTAGTGGCTTACATTGGTTGACACTTGCAGAGTCGGTTGTGATCCTGCCACGTTTCGGGGTTCAACTTGAAACGCATTATAGAAGGTATGCACATAAGTTTTGATACTGGCCTTCGATATTTCATTTTTGGACCCTTTTAGAATAGGAATTAAAAAATAAGAAAGAGGTAGCTTTGCCTGATGTAGAAGGAGGGCCTGAGAGTGCTTCTATTTACTAGCCTCCGCCTTTCAAACGAAAACAAACACAGCCATACCATTTTGATCAGAATCTCTGTTGAAGCTTGCCAATATTAGATTCACTGTGGAGTTTGCATCTGTCCTTTCCCTGCTGACCTGTTTCTTTCTCTACTTGGGAATTTTTTGCTGTGTAGTGGAAGAGTATTGCGCCATTTCGTGCCAGTGAGCAAGATTGTAAAGCCAGTGTTGCTGGAGCATGTGAGTCCGGTCACTTGCTACTGGCTTTTGTCTATGATTTTGCAGAAGGAAGAAGAACTGACTCCGGTTTTCAAGGTATGCATACAAGTTCTTCACATTTTTCAGATTTTCAAAATCCTCTTCAACTTGCATTCATGTTTGGTGATAGTTATGCCGTGATAAAGAACTGACAGTTTTAGAGTTGCAAATTTTGATTTTACATGGTGTTGATCAATGATTTAGAATTTTGGTTGTTCAGGAGTTGCACCCGCCTTTGAAGATGCTGGTTCCTATATGGAAGGCATTGTGTGGTGCTGTCTCTGGAGATAAGGACTCTTCCCTACATTCATCTGTAGAAGATTATGGACAGAGTGTTTTTAGTTAAGTTTGACAAATTGGATAATCAGATCGAGGAAAGAAGAAGAGCTTAAAAGTTCACTTGACCCTGGGTTTATAGGTCTTTCCTTCTTATACTAGTCTGCCCCTGATTTGAATATGTTCGAAGTCACAAAAATGGCCTCAATCTCAACTGTTATCCAATGGCTACAGGTTGTAGTATGAACACTGCCTTGTCAAAATGACTAGTTAGTGGGTGCATTGTCTTGTGCAAGTCTGCAACATGCGTGGTTGACTTATTGCCTCACAGTTTTATACTCTTGTTTGCTTGGTCAGTCCACTCAAGTCCAACCAAAGAACAACGATTTGACAATGGCCCTTTCTTGTTCCGCTGAGCACACTAATCTTGACTTCGAAGCTCAGCAATCCACATTACATGGTGAAGAAGCTTCTACAACCCTGGCACTATCCTGAGAATTGCTTGCCAGGACATGCACCTCTTATTTAGCATGCGCACTCGAAGGTTCTGAATACAGTAAGTATTTTCAACTAACGCTACTCGTCCATTCGATAGATAGACCAGACTGATCCGGCCAGTCTGATGAGTATGACTACCTGCTGGATTGAATGCCATGTGAAAATACTGGCAATTGCATACATATTGATGAATGCTAGTATAGAATGCCAGTCTCCATCCATGGGGAAGGTATCTTAATCTTATCCTGACAGCTTAGCCAGGAGAGGAAACAATGAAAACAAAACAACCAGAAAAGCCTCGCTTCCTCCTCCTGTGTTGCTTTGGATGCTTTTTTTTTTGGTCCCTTTCCCTCCTTCAAAAGGATAAGAGAACAATTGAATGCTTTCCTGCACTACAAACACTCTGAGCATCATATCATCCCTTCCACTGCAGCCCTCTCAGACTTGTCCATGGCTGTCCTTTCCATGTTTCCTTGTCGTTTGTATCGACTCACGACGTCCCAAGTCGTTCTACACTTCGTACTTAACTCGAAAAGCTTCCTGCTAGCGTGAAAACGAAACGAACAGTGTCGCGATCTCTTGTTCCCTCAACAGCTGTTGTTACACATTCATTCCTCCCCATACTGTAATGCTACTAGCTTTTGCATATATGTACATGTGCTAAGAACCAGAAATGTAGATCATCAGGTTTCCTACATAGACATGAACCGAATCTAAAACGGCCCAAAAGCTAGCTAGATAGATTCGACCAAAAGTGACAAACCAACCAGGAAAACCACCATCTCCATGTTTCCATGTCCAGACAGACAAGCCCCCTTTGAGACATCACTGTACATGTCGAAAATTTGCATATATATCCACCCAGCTGCCCATCGTTCCTTGCTTTCCACTCACTCAAATACAGTTCAGTAAAACAAACCACCCCCACCGAGGAGTATCGTTTCTCCGCACCTCAACGAGGAGAGTCATTTTGCCGGACGTACGCTACCGTGAACCATATCTTATGGTATCGAACTTTCGTATAACATTGTTGAACTCTTTGATAGGATTGATGAATGATACATATTAGGGCACCAATCCATTCCCTGTTTTTTTGTTTGTGATATACACTGTATTATTCACCGCATGCAGCAGAGCGCGCGACTGATTGGACTGATCATCAGATTAGGGGTGTTCAAACGGTTTGGTTACCATGGTAACCGTTTTAACCAGTACTATTTGGATAATTTGGTTTGGTTAATTTGAATAATTGGTTTGGTTTGGTTAAAGTTTTTAGCTTGTTTGGTTTAGGTGGTTTGGTTTGGTTTCATACACTCCTAACCAGTCAAACCAAATTAACCAGTTAAGTAATTAGTCATATATCTAACATATATTATATACACATACTTAATACTTTGCATAACCACTCAAGAGTTAACGTTCATCCCTTTTAGACTCATAAAATATAAAGCTCAATATTGCTCATATAGTGTAAATTTGTATATGTAAAATGTAGACCACAATATATGGACGCCTAATTTAGATAAATTTCATACATTATGATGGATGAAAACTTGAAAGGAAGGTCATTTTCAGCCTATGATAATTGCTAAGAGACTAAGTCAATTTACACAAACACAACAATTCATTAACCCATACCATTGTCATAAATTTTTGTTAGGTGAATACTTCTATACTAATCATAAGATAATTGTCTTAGTTGCATGTATTTTTGTTAAGGGTCAACTATAACTACGTGTTGATTGTTATGTTTTATTCATTATATAAATTGAGAATTGTTGCATTAACCGGAAAATTTTCATCGTCAATGATAATGTGATTTTATATTGGTTAATCTGGTTAACCAATTAACCAAACCGATTAAACTTTAGTTTGGTTAATTTGGTTATTGTATTAGTTTGGACGGTTTGGTTATGATATTGTATTCCATGGTTAATGGAATTTAGTCTTATTTGGTTTGGTTATAACCATGGTAACCATTTGAACACCCCTACATCAGATAACCATATCAACAACAGGTTCCTGCCTGTCTGCCTGCCGGTGACTGGGTGTGGTAGGTATGCACCCTGCTGATGAGAAAATGGCTCCACAGTTTACCTTTCTCCACGGCCAACTGTCGCACACAGTTACTACTTTGTTTCCTGCAGTACACCAACAAGTTATTATAGTGATGGTTTCGTGGGTTAATTCCATTGAATACCATTTAAGTTCCATCAATTGAAGGTTTTTTTGAAGGTAAATTTCTCCGTAACCCTAACCCACCATGGAAAACCAATAAGGGTCTTATGTTGTGACTGTAATCTCAAGTCAAATCCGACTAATCATATCCACCTTACAAGCTGAAGTCGATGCTTTGATGATAATTTTATTCAAACTGCCCTAGAAATGTCTGTGTTTTGATTAAATATTGAGGGTTGGAAGTGTAAGTTCAAAATCTACTCAACCAAAGATTAGATATGATCAAGAGGGAAAAGGTAATTAGCACAAAAAGGTAACTTAATCATATGTCTTGAAACTTTTTTCAAGATAAAAAAAATGGTTATGTATATATGTTAGACCCGGATAAAAAATTTGGCTAGCACGAAAACTAGCCACTTAACGGAACACTTTCGAAAATCTACGGATTAATGGAATGCACTCCAGTTGAAATAGATCGTCGAACTTTCAATAATGAACTTGCTACCACTAAACAACATGGTTTAAACCTAATTATCTGAACATGATCCTTCATGAAGGCTTAGAAAATATGAAGTTAGGGTTCCTCAGACTTCACGCGGATCCAGGGACGCTGATCACAGTAAACTCGCGTTAGATATGCATTTTTTTTATTCTTTTTCTGAATTTTGCCTCTATGATAATATAATGCAAATAAAAAAAACATTAATCTATTGTGTTAAGAGTACTCTAAAACACTTTTAGAAAAGGAAACTATATACTCCAAAGATGGGAGGGAATCAAAGAACTAAAGATACATCCATGGTGTATTTTTGGGTATGGAGGGTGGGGTTTGGTTACCCCTGTTGGGTTGTCTCCAAAAATTTATTCCCCTCTTTCCAATATTATTGGCCTGCAAAATGTACGACTAAAATCCGACAAAGAGAATCAAAAGATGTTATTTTGTAATGTGGGAGCTAGCTAGCTAGAGTGGGTTTTTTTTTTTTTTTGGGGTATAAATTTCCACTTGTACATATATTACTTCCAACCTAGCTTCAATATTGTATGATATCGTCCTATGGTGATGATGAAGAAGATCACATGAAGAGAGAATGTTTTAGTTTCTCATGGAACTCTAGAACTAGTTCTGTTCATGCATCAATCTCGTTGACGTTTTTGACTTACTACTACTTCTGCCGACAAATGGCCTATTTTCTATCAATAGAATCATCATGTGAACCAAACTCTACTTATTAAATCGAATCATCAAGATCTTGAATCTTCTTTCTTTGTTTGGTTTTATGAACGGTATGAATATTTATGTATGATCATGTCGCATCTGAAAAAATATATCTATATAATCAAGAATTATCGTCATATTCATATACGGTCAGTTTCTTTCACATTGGGAATGAGATATTTAAGAAATGCTCTAAAGGAAACAAAATTAGGGTATTTTATGTGAACATTAAGATCGAATTTACTTCCCTTTCATTCACCGGTTGCTACTTGCTACCATCACCATAGAAAAAAAAAACGACTCCTTGAATTGACTTTCTCAAAAACCTGACCCTGGGAAGTGAGAACATCGACTTTGAACAACATGGGCCATTCAAAGTAAGGGCATGGGTCATGCAGAATGGCAGTTGGCCGGGTTCGTGACAAATTACGTCTAGGTCAATAGTTTGATTTCTCATACACATCGATGTCAGTCGATTTATTTGAATATCCGTCTCAAATAAAAAAAATTATAATAAAGTTAATTATTTCGTTAAAGGATTGAGAAATACCCTTGCAATATAAAATCGAGAGAATGACATGATGATCAATGAAATCAAATTAATTATTCAGCAAACCGATACTCTCACTTGATGACTGATGTTAATTACTATATGGTTGAAAATGATCAAAGTACAAAACAAGAATACGTAACATAACATGTAACATAACATATGAGTAACTAACTTGACGAATGAAGCAGGTCCCGATGTAGGATGGAAGTAATAGGGGGGAAATAAAGTATTGGATTAAACTCTTTTCTATGATTACTCGCTGACTCCAGGTAAATGGTAGAAGAATCAGACCCATTACGGTACATATAATCCATCATATGAGCATAATCATCACACTTCACTCCGATAAAATTTCAAAACAGATCGGATTAAAACAGGTCAAATCGAAATTGTTAGATACCGCTCCGAATTAGTTGACAAGGCAAATAGGGTAGGGTACCCCGTTTATTCATTAGGTGTCATCCTCAATGTTTGCCTTTTCCCCGACCTCTCCCTCTCTTTCCCCCAACCCTACAAACTATTCATCACTTTCCACCTCTTTAATTATTTTCCTATATAGCTCCACATCCTTTTTCTCTTCATAATCTGCTCTCCTTCTCCATCTCCATCTCCTCATATATCTCCCGGCTTCCAGGTGATCATCAACGTCGTCTTTTGCCCGATGGAGCTACAGCTGGGCCTCTCTCTCCCCACCGCCGTCACGGCGGCGCCTTTCGACTTGAACGGCGGCGCGGAGCTCCAACAGAAGCATTACTATGATAACAATAACAACGCAAATAAGCGTGGCTTTGATCTGGCTTTCCCCTGCACCACTACTACTACATGTAAGACCGAATCATGTGACGTCGACGACGCCAGCGACATTAGGTCGTCGCCGGAAACGATAACACTGCCTCTGTTTGTGTGGAGTGCCAACGGCGGCCGGGAGGAGAACAACTTATCTCATCACGGTGATCATTTCCTACGAATCCGCAGTGACGTTAATTATGATTACAGGCAAGTTTTACTAATTTATGGTGACCTTTTCTCTATTTAGTATTTCCTTAGACAACATGTTATTAATTGGTTAGACCATACTTTTAGTTAGGCTACATTGTAGAAAGATGTACAACATCTACTAAAAATCGTGACCGAATTTGTTGGTGTGATCGATCGAAATGTGGCAGGAACGAGGAGAAGGAGGATGACGAGGACGACGAGCTGCAAATCGTTGGATGGCCACCGATCAGACCGTGGGGAAGGAACAAGTTCGAGGAGAGCAACGCGATTGGTCGGAATATCTATGAGAGTACAATCAGTTGCGGATTAGAAGAGGCTAGATCGATAATGTCGATTAACTGTTCCAGATCCAGTAGGTTTGTGAAGGTGAAGATGGAAGGCGTAGGCATCATACGGAAGATCGATCTCAGCATCTACCATTCCTACCCTGCCCTCATCCGCTCCTTGCTGATCCTCTTCTCCAAACATTGTAAGGACATAATGTCTTTTTTTCAGAAACTTCAGGGACCAAACTGTCATTTTTACTAGAATAAAGTGACCTCTCGATCTGTCGGGTTTAATGGAGAAAGATTCCAATACGTCGATCGTAAAACAATATTTTGCTTGATCCGTAACATGATTAATTAAATGTTTGTGATATCAAAGCCCGATTATTTGGTTAACTATAAACATATTCGTATCGTATTATGTAACATAATTAACGTGGCTAATTGGTTTGGACACTGCAGGCCAAAACAATAGTAGCGATGATGACGAAGATAGCGGGAAAAAATATACGCTGATGTATCAAAACAAGGCTGGAGACTGGCTAACAGCTGGAGACGTTCCATGGCAGTAAGTATTAGATAAACAATGTTGTGTTCCATGGCAGTACAATTTTAATTTTGAAGTTGAATAATCTTATTAGTTAATCATATCATATGATTTAATAATATCTACTGTCTAATGATGATTGCTTGAAATCTTGATCTGCAGGAAATTTATTCGATCTGTGCAGCGTATTGAGATACTCATGAGATGATGTAATGAGGGTTGTGGAAATTTAAAGCAATGTAGCAGCTGGATGAAGAAAATGATCGATGATGCGAGGCAGATATATATTTGTTCGTTAGTACGTGACGGAGCTACTCGAAACAATTGATAGTTGTTGTAGGTTATGTTTCAATCGATTTATATTACTACCAGATCTACATTTATCAATTACTCTAATTGTTAATGTTACATTTATGCGTCAAAGCTTTTCCGTACTAGTATTTTTCCTTGTATTAGTAATTGACGTATCTAGGGTTTCTTACAATGTTCAAACTTCAATTCTTCGAACACATTTTTCATATTCTACATTATCCTGCAATGTGTTCATCATACAAACACTATGAATATATCTCTCATACATCCTTCTAATTTCTAAAGGTGAAGGAAAGACGTAAAGAGATTGGGTGGGAAATGCCAAAAAAATAACTTCTTTAAAAATTATGTCAGGCATTTCATGATTAAAGATGATAATAAATTATCATATTGAATAAATATAACATATTCTGATAAAAGGGACATATACTCATGTGTTTTCATGAACTGTTTCGGATGAAAACATTGAAATAATTTGATAAAAACAAGAGAGTGACTGATTTTTAGTGCAAGCAACAAGGGATTGAACATTTGAACTAGAGACAAGAGTGGCATGATAAAACTTCGAAGCTAAACTTATTTTGGATGTGAGCTAGTGAGTTGTCAAAGATTAAGGAATGATCATACATTCTGTACTATATTTAATTAATTGTAATTTTTTTATATTTTTTAGTATTTTGATATATCGATCACAATCTCGTAATCCTGAATAAAATCAAAATCAATTACAATTCCTACAAATCAACTCGAATAGTAATAAATTTGGTACCGTATTGATGGTACGAGATGAGTATCACAGATTCCTACTATCCTATCAAGACAAAGCTTTGGATCCAGTCTGTCAGAAATATTGCTAAATGGGCAGCCCAAAATAAATCTGTAACTTCCCGTATCAAACGTTGTTCATAAACCTTTTCCCAAGGTTTGGATCCAGTCCATTCAAATTAAAGCCCAGATAGGTTGTAAACGAAACTTTGGTTCCCAAGACAATCCATCACCATCAGAAGTGTTGTTAAATGGGCAGGCCCAAAATAAATCTGAAAAAAGCTTTAGGATATGTCTTGAAATACGTTAAACAATCAGACTCGCACTCTACCAATTGCACAATTGTATTCCCTGGAATCTTAATAAAAACAGAGTTTACAACCTTCACTCTCAATCAAACTGAATAGCTTGAAATTACAGAACAGAGAGTGAGCATGAATTGGTTCCGCTGATTCTACGGCCACAACTGTATTATGTATCGTAGGTCGAACCAATCACGATATTAAACTCATTTGAGAAAGATTTCAAACTTTCGAGTCCAATACACTTACCAAGAATCATTTTCTATTTTAGTAACAACTAGCAAGCTCTCATTTTTTTTGTTTTCTTTTTCTTTGATCAAACTTATTAGCTGCCATATACAGCTGAGTCAGCAAATTAACATAATCAAAGCTTTTTCCAGTCAACTCCATGCTTTGATTTGAAGTAAACTAATATTTTCCCAGCCGCCAATCAGATCACTTTCCTCCCCAAACGATGCCATTTGGCAAGCCATCCTTCATTCTCTTCTTCACAGCATAACAACACACAGAAAACCCTCTCCAGACAAAGGAAAAGCATCCATGCCCCCACCTTCACCAACCCCAACAGCATATGAAATGAAATCTCCACCGTCGATTCATCCACTCCTCCAAAGCATCAGATTACAAGTGGACAAACCCTACAGTGTCATCTGGTTTCTGTTCCTTGTCTCTATTTGGCAAATTGGGGGTTTTCATAATCACAAAAGATCAAGAACAAGACCCTTTCAGAACAAAGAAAGTCTGACCATGAAAAAAGTTTGATTTTCCCCACTTTGTTATAGTTCTGTTCAGACTGATGCAGCAGACTAATCCACCAAAAGTTCTGGTCTTTTTTTCTAATCTGGAGATGGCGACCATTCTCGTCCCTTTCATCAGCCTAATCTCCCCAGAATTTTGTTGGCTTCCACCCGCTGGTTGCAGCTTGGCGTCGCAGAATAATAATATGTACAACTACTGTCGGTTTCTCGCTTGTCCCACTGAGGGGAAGACACTGTTATATCACCTGGGGAGGCCGGCTTGGGCCTGCAATTGAGAAATCTCTCAAAAGAGACTTTCTTACAATGAAGTTCGTCAGCTTCAGTTTCCTCCTACTCTGCATTTTCCAGGCGGTTTCTTCACAACCCACCACCGATCCCAAAGAAGGTTCTTCTTTGCTCGATTTTGCTCACATAAAAGTTTATCGCTTTGCTAATAAGCACAGCTTTCTGAGTTGCTTGCTTGGCTCTATTGTTTGGTTTTCGTTTCGCTCCAGTGGCTGCTCTCAGCAGGATAATAGAGTTCTGGAACTTGAGGAACAAGTTGAACATAACAGGGGACCCATGTGCGCAAAATGCAACTTGGGCGCCAGAAACTGCAAACCCACGAGTCTCTTGCTCCTGCGATGCCACCATCTGCCACATCATTCATCTGTTTGTTCTTCCTTCCTTCAGTCTATCTCCATTAATCTTCAAATCCCTTTTTTTCCTCTGTTCATCACAGCTTCTTATGTCTGAACCATCATCAAATTTCCAGGAAGGTTTATGCTCTGGACGTTTCTGGAGAGATACCCATTGAGCTGTTTGATCTCAAGGAGCTCATGGACCTGTAAGTAACTTAATCTCAATAAAAGAAAGGGGAATGATGATGGTCTGATTAATGTCTGAATTTGGAGGGTGCAGGAATTTGGGGCAGAATGTGCTTGGAGGACCGATCCCAGCTGAAATCGGGCAGTTGTCTAAGATGCAGTACCTGTAAATATCATCAACTACCTTATTAAAGCTTCTGTTAAGATAAACAACTTGGCCAGTTCTTAACTTTGTGGACATTGTTTCCTGTTACTGTGATCAATGATTGTGAACAGGAGCTTGGGAATCAACAACCTGACAGGCACACTCCCACCGGAGCTTGGAAACCTGACCAAGTTGATTTCCCTGTAATTGAAAGAAAACACTCTCCTCTATCATCTACAGTTCTGTTGTTTCTTTCAAAAGAACACATTTCAAGCAGATTCACTTTTTATTTTGGACCCTACAGAAGCTTCAGCTCCAACAATTTCAATGGGCCCTTGCCGCCTCAACTTGGGAACTTGACCTCTTTGCAGCAGCTGTATATTGATAGCAGTGGACTCAGTGGGCCAATACCGCAGGAGCTTGCTAATCTGAAATCTCTTCAAAATCTGTACTTTTTTCTCTCTTCCCTCCTAGAAGATTGATTAGTCATTCATATTCCGGTCTTGGGTTGTTTGTTTCGTTGAATGAATTTGCCTGATCTTCTGTCTTTTTCAGGTGGGCTTCTGATAACCAATTCACTGGCAAGTTCCCAGAGTTCATTGGAACATTCACAGAACTGAGGGACCTGTAAATTACTTAACCTCCACCCACTTTCAGGAACCCTATTCTCTTCTACGTGACCTCTTTTCCTTTTGTTTTCGCAATCCTGATGTTGGAAGGAATTCGCAGGCGACTACAAGGCACGTCGCTTGAAGGTCCAATCCCAAGCAGTTTGAGGAATCTAGATAAACTTGATAGCCTGTAAGTTCAAGGCCACAAATAGGAAAGCTGTGTTATGAATGTAGCAACTAACTGATGAACTTATTAGCGACGTTGTTTACGATTGTTACCATGTTATCTACAGGAGGATTGGCGATTTAGGTGGTGCAGATTCTTCTCTTGATTTCTTGGGAAACCAAACTAGCTTGTCCATATTGTAAGCATATAACAATTCTAGGTAGTAGATGCTTTGATCGGTTTCTTGCTCAACAAGCTTTCTTTTAACTACATATCCATGTTTGCTGCAGGATACTGAGGAATAGTCGCATCTCAGGCCAGATTCCTGATGAAATCGGCACGTTCTTGAAGCTCCAGCTGCTGTAAGTCTACTGGTTCCATGCGTCTTTTCGTTGTTTCAGTATCGGTTAGATAAGCTGGGGAGTGATCATATAGACAACTTAGAACCTTCTTTTTCTTTTGACATGACAGGGACTTGAGTTTCAACAAGCTGACAGGTAACATTCCATCCTCGTTTCAGAACTTCCCCCTGCTACGCTACATGTAAGTCATCTTCATCCTGAGCCATGCTCTTTTCCTCTTTGTATTTGTGTCTTTAAGCATTGCTAAAATGGACTCATGAAAGGTGGGAAATGTTTCAGGTACCTTGGCAACAATGGCTTGAGTGGAGAGATTCCTGCCAACATCATAAGCTCAAACCTCGTTTCACTGCAAGTGTTCTTCAGTTTATTACCAGCTACTCCATTTTTGTTCTCTTGACTTACTTACATTACATTGATCTCATGAACAAGCCAATTTACGCTTCCATGTCGAATCGCAGAGATGTTTCCTTCAACCCCCTCTTCGGAAAACTACCTCTGAATTTCGCTCGAGTTGGATTGTCCATGTAAGTTCCGAATTCCGCTTCACCACTTATCAAACTTCTGATACGTTGGACCAAAACACTATAACCCAATGATCTGATCGATTCTTCTTCAGGAATCTCGTCGGGACATCCATCGATTCAAACAATCTCTTGGACAGGTGAAATCGCGAGCTCTTCTGTTCTTACATTATCAAAATTCTCCCTCCATTTCCCCCCTTTTGACAACAGGATTTTTGGTGACTACAGCCAAGCATCAGGACTGTTGCAGTGCGTCCGTCAGGATTCCGAGTGCAGCAACAGCAAGCCACTTTCATCCAGTTACGTTAAAAACAGACCAAAAAACTCTGCTACCTTTTTTCAATTCTTGTTACCAATCATCCAATTTCCCTAACAGAATCTCTTCTCAACATCGTGACAGCTTCATTCGCCATCAAGTGCGGTGGCAGCAGCCAGACATCCGCATCAGGAATCGAGTACGACGACGAGTCGGAAATCCTCGGAGCAGCCTCACTCTACACTAGCTCCAACAACGAGTGGGCGGTGAGCAATGCAGGGAACTTCATTTCCAACCCGAACGGACCGGTCTACACCGCTCGAACCGAGTCACAGATCATCGGCACCCTCGACTCCGAGCTCTACAAGACCGCCAGGGTCTCAGCCAGCTCGCTGAGGTACTACGGATTGGGGATGGAGAACGGGAAGTACACTGTCGAGCTCCATTTCGCCGAAATCGAGATGGGCGACCCTTACTCGTGGCGGGGCCTGGGCCGACGGATGTTCGACGTGTACATCCAGGGAGACAGGGTGCTGAGGGACTTCAATGTCCAGGCGGAAGCAGGGGGATCGAAGCGAGCCCTGGTGAAGACGTTCGAGGCTAGCGTGAACAACACGGTAATGGATGTGCACTTCTTTTGGGCGGGGAAGGGAACCTGTTGCATACCTTACCAGGGGACCTATGGGCCTCAGGTATCAGCCATCCGTGTCTCTCAAGGTACCTAACTTCTTCCTCTCTTTTTTTTTCGAATTTCGATTTGTTTTGCTTCGTACTCGAGGTAACGTTTTTCGATGGTGTCGAGGTAACGTTTTCTCGTGTCATGGTGTATGCAGTTTCTTCTGATGGGTTCGGGTCAGGTAAGCGTGACAAGAAGCGCGCGGGGAAGATAGCCGGGGTGGCTGTGGGGTGTGCTGCTGCGGCTGTGATTATGACTTCAGTGTTCTATTTATGGTGGACGAAGAACTCGCCCACTCATATGCGAATTCACACGGATTCGTCCAGGAAAGGCTGATTTCTCGAGGGTATGAGTAACCGTGTTCATCGGTCAAGCTAAGAGAGCGATTAGGAATGGTGGACAACGAGGAGGGTGGGGTGCAATTAGTTATGGACCACGGCGAAAGTGGGTTTATTTGGAGAGCTCAACAAGAAGTTAGTAATAATTGAGCACCTTGTGTTTTATTTGTTTTTGTTGTTCTTAGTTTGGTTATGATCTCTCGATTTTGGATCGAAAGATAACGCTCGATCGATTTCTCTGACAAGATGAAAAGGGAAGCTGATGATGAGTGTGGTCGTCACCATTATGATGATGGTTAGGTTTGTACAAATTTTTGTTTGTGGTTAATGCATGGCGAAATGTTGTTGTAACAAAAATAATGAATTGGTAGTTTCATCTTTGAACTTGCTTATTGTCATCTTGATCATCTCGGTATTACTAAGTCATTTTTGTAACTTATGTGTATAACTTCAGTCTTCTCGATATATTTTCTCGATGTAATATACTTCTTAAATGTTATGTTTTTTCTTTCGTTTTGGACAAACTCGTCCTGCATACTTTAAAGAGATGTCCATAAACCTTTTTTGGACCAATCGTTTTAAATTTCATATCAATTTATCTGAATTTGAAAGGAAAAAAAAAAGGCAGACTTCTAAATTTTATGTTGGGATTTTTAGTGGTGTGAATGGAAATAAAAGGGGAAAGTTTCAAGAGAGTCTCTTGAAGTACCATGTTGGTAAGATGTGAGAAGGCATGGCCTCGAATTCGATCGATTTGATGTAATATGTGGTTAATTGGTTAAATTGGTTTGTGTAACCAAATGAACCAAACCGAGTTGAACCAAATCGAACCGAACCGATGTGGCGGTTGGAATAACCAAACCGGTCCAACTTCCATGAGGCCGAACCAATGCAATCGTTGACATATTTTAAACGAACCAATGCAATGGTTGGGGTGTAACCACCCATATGAAGAGTTGCCTCCCTTCAATGCATCCCTTCATTTTCTATAAATAGCACCATACCCCCTCTTGTTTTAATACGAGTTTGACATGGATTTTTCCCGATACTGAAACTCTACCAAAATCCAAAACTAGTTTTTCTGCATTCTTTTCAAAGAGAAAATAGAGTCAAGTGTGGTTCTCGCCGTTTCGCTGCGTTCGATGGTGTTTCCGGGGTTTGAGGTACCGCTACGCCGGAAAAGGTACGTCCTTTCTATCCTGGGAGGAATCATTCCACAACCTTGGGTACTTGAGGGGAATAAGATTCTTTAAGGAGAGATAGTGAATTCTATTGGCTAGGACACTTGCATGTGTCTTTGCATGTTTTCTTAATCTTATGTGTTTGCTTGTGTTGCAAGAAAAATAGTATACGTGAACAATTTCCCCAACAATCTTAAAGAATCTTAGAGTTTAGTTAATTGTTCATGGTGCTGATTTTTTTTGCATGATATGTTAATCTCTCTGTTTTGGCATGGCATTTGTGCATGTTACATGATTCTCCAAAATTTTGTTTTGCATGGCTCTGTTAAACAGAAAGGAAGAAAGAAAGAAAAAAATGCATCACAGTTTGGTTAATTCAGTAGGACACTCGGTTCCTGTTCATGCATAAAGTGGATTTCGAGGGTTGATTATATAAATGGGGTTGATTATTTATATAATTGTTGCTTTAGAGTTCAATTGATTTTCGTATCTCGTTAAATTGTGCCGCATACATATATATATATATATATATATATATATATATGGTTGGTGTGTTTTTCTGTAATTTTTTTGCATCGACAATGTTTGGACAATTGCCGAGAAACGTCGGAAAGAAGAGGCAGTTATGGCGGTTGGCCAAGAAGCATCGTGTCCTTTCATCAGACATTGTTATGGACTTATGGTTAATCCTAGAACAGGTAATACCCTGTTTCTCTTCTCTTTTGATTCTAAGTATGATGAGTACAGATGATATATATATATATATATGTTATATAAATACACACATGCAGTTCCATGTATTGAAAGGAAAACTTGCTTTCTATGAATGATCTTATAAGCATGGATGATATATATTGGTATATATGTTCGTTGTGTATATGTTTAACAGTTTGGCATGGATCAGTTGCCGTTGGTTAATTCCATGGATTAATAATTAATCTGTTTTTTCATGGTTAATTTGTGTACATTCCAGAAGTTACATGGGATGGTTGTGAGATACAGTTTATATGCTTATACCTTCTCTTTGCATGAATTGAGATTGAATAATCTAAATGTAAATATATACATATATGTTTCTGGAAGTGTCTTGACCCTAATCATGACGATGTGGCTATATAATGACATTAGTGGAGAGCATCCAACCAATTATTGGACTCTAGATGATATACCCATCTATGATTGGTACTCAATGGGTCCTAATGTGGACGATTTGGGCACCCATGTGGACTCGATGGAGAGTATGGGGGAAGAAGAGGAATTTGAGGAATCGGAGAACGAGGAGGAGTACTCCGATATAGAGACCGATGAATGCCTCTCTGATCCTGACTTCGACCCCAAGAATCCTTAGGATTCTAGTATATGTATTGTAATCTCCTTTGAGGAGTAGACATATGTATGTGTGTGTGTATATATACATATGGTATCAATATGTGTGTGCCTATGTAAGTCGTGTATTTACATGATGAATAAAGGACAAATGTTCTTATCTCTCAAGTGGAAAATTAGTTGGATAAAACCTTACGAGTTTGTTTGGTTCCAAAATTAACCACAAAGTTTTAATGCTTTTATTGCATTGGTCCATCTCAATTATGTGGCATGGATGAATGATAATTGTACCAATTTAATTTGGACACTTTTTCATTCAAGGTGATACATGAGATGATGGAAGTACTTATGATAGTCCTTCATGGACTCTAAGTAACGGTGGTTTGGATAGTAGTAAACTATCTAGTGGGAGAATATGAACAATCATAGGTGTGTAAAACCTATGGAGCGTGGCAAGTGGGGACTTGTGAGTCAAGTCTATCTATGGCGGAATGGTTGCAAACGTAATGTTCATAGTATGTTGGACATAGTTTGAAAGAGTATACCTCCAATGTGTTGGAGATGAAATTTGGTTAATGCACGTTTAAGGATTGCATTACGAGAAAGCTACAAGCGATAAGGAATTCTAGTTCCTGTGATAGTTGTGAATACATGATAATTTATTTATCATGTATGTGGTTTAGGACTTGATGTTTCCTATGCCATGAGGGCAAGGAAAATGAAGCTATGATTGATCCTTATAGGGATTTAATAAGCTTGCCAAATGATGTTTGTCATCAAGATAAGCATTAGGTCAGAATTGTTTATGACCTATGATTATCAACGTGAAGCTCATTGACAGAATTGTTTATGGTGTATATAGATATATATATCATTGGAAAACAATTTGGCATGAGAGCTCAATTGAGATGATCTTATTGAAATTAAAGACTGGATTACTTGTGGTATAGTTATGAAGTTTATACCATTGGAAAGTAATTAGACAATTGAATTAGAAATTCGTTTGAATTACTTGTGGTATATCATGTTACATATATGTCATTGGAAAGTAATTAGATGGGATTTCCATTACTTGAATGCATCTGAATTACTTATGACGTCTCAAGTTGCCTTGATCAATACCATTGGTAAGTAATTGGATTATTTTTCTAAGAAAAACTGAATTGTTTGTGGTATGCTAATCGAGTGAGATCATACCATTGGTAAACAATTAGATACATATAGTGGTTGGCAAGTTCAATAAGTAAAACCATGGAAAATAAATGGGATTATTCCATGATGTTTGGCAAAGGGTAGAATTGTTTGGGAGAAGAGCTAGTCATTGTTTCGGCTACTATCTCAAGACCCTACAATGGGACGCAAACCTATCCATAAGACAAAAGTGGAAAGGTAAGCGAAGTCATACTTGAAAGTATGAATGTGTCCAATGAGAAAGTGAGAGTCCTTAAACCTTGTAGAGTTAACCCAGTCCAAGGGTATAACTTATGAGTAAACTCTAGCATATATTGACGTTATGTCAGAGGCTAGAATATTTATTGATGTTGGTCCACTCTTCCCAAAGAGAGATGATTTTGACCATATACATGAATGTATATGAACAACATTCCCCAAACTGGAAAAGTTGGTTTCAACAACTATGGCGAAATAGTTGAAATGTGGGGGATAAATTGGGGAGAAGTAATGTGGAATGTCGCTTGGGTGATTCTAAAGTGAAAGTGATACTTAGAAGTTTTGCGTAAACCCTAAGCTAAGTCATAAATGTCACTACATTTAAAGAGATACTTGTGAAGCTCAAGTACACTAAGGTTAATGAAGTGGAGAGACTTCAATACCGTTGGCATGTGTTATGATTATTGCAAGGCAATAAAATCAAGTCAAGCTCACAAGATGGGTAGTGAATTGGAAAGTGGCATTAATAAAACGCATTTGTGCACAAAATGGTTACTGCAAGGGCTAGAAGTGTTATGTGAAAAAAATCTCGTCATTGATAATGGAAATATAACAATAAGATTAATTTCTAGTGAAGTTATCTAAGTTGATCATTTAGATCAAGTGATAACAAAAGTGGGGCCCACCTAGAAATTTGTTAAAGCATCGAAGGGAATGGACTCGTGGCCTAGGACAAATCATCATGGCGGTAACTCTACCTAAGCAGGATTGGCAGACCCAACCTCTAGGTTCAAGGAGAAAACAAAGTTGTGATTGATGGTCCGACATTGTCAAATTATTCAAAGTCCATTCTCATGATGAGACAATGTCCAACTATAAGGGTAAACCTAAAGATGGAAGGTTTTTAATGGCTTCTAAGTTTGACACAGGATGTGATCAAATAGTGTATTTTCGGAATACACGTTTAGAAATCACCTATGTGAGTGTGAAGTGGAGCCGCTTCAAGGAGAATAAAAGAAGGCCAATTCTCTAAGCACTCATGAGACCAGGCGGTGTTCATGGCTGAAACGAACGCAACAATGAGAACCAGTGAACGGATAAG